TGTGTGTGTGATTAACCAATAGCTCATATGAAGATATGTGTTCATATGAGCTCAACAGCCCAGATTGAATCTGGACCGATCTGACGGTCACGACCTTATTTCATATTTTTATTTTAATTTTTTTTCTACAAATCTAAATAACTTGAAATTTTAAGCATATATTTTTCAAAAATATTATCATCTAATAAAAATATCAAAAAAAAATTTGCAAAAAAATAAATTGACCAAAATACACCTAAAAACGTTTGAGGTATTTTAGTCAATTTTATTTTTTTTTCGAATTATTTTTAAAATATTTTTATTAGGTGCGAATTGAAGAGAAGAATACACACCTAAAATTTTAAATTATTTGGATTTGTATAAAAAATATTAAAATTTAAATACGAAATAAGGTCGTGATCGTTAGATCGGCCGAGATTCAATCTGAGCCATTGGGCTCATATGTTCATATGAGCTAGTGAGCTATGTGTATGTGTCCCAGGTCGGTTTCGGATCACGGGATGTGGATTCCGGAGCCAGAACGACCCCCTATTGTGGTGCTTGCGGTAACTATGCTCCAAAACAATAATAATAAGTGAAACTTCAAAGCAAATAGAGATATAGACATACATTACTTATTTTTATATATAGACTTTCCCCTCCTTTTTTTCATACTTTATAGCTGTTTTTATGGTTCAGGAACTTTGAAGACAAGGATTCATGAGAAGAAGAAGATGCCATTACATTTGCTGATTCTAGTAGCAGGGCTGGCTTTAATAATGATTTTGCAGAAGTGTATTACTGGTTCTCTAAACTTAATAGAAGGGAAAAAAGGCAATTTCACTGTTAAAAACAAAGGAAAAGAGGGCAAATACACGAGAAAAATGGTGGCACAGAGCATTCAAATAAATAAAAAAGACTACTAATTCTTTGATGACCTCTCACACAGTTAAATCTCTGCTCTCCAAAAGACAGAGGATGCTCTTTGGTAAAATTTGAGTGAGATTGAGTTTGGAGGAATTAGAGAGAATTGGTCTAAATCCATTAGAGAGAGCAAAAGGCCTTTGTGAGGGATAATACAGGGGAAGAGGATGAGGGTGATGTGAGGAGGGTGAGAGAGAGGCACATGCCTCAGTTGAACTTCTTTTTGGTTTCTTTTTTATTATTAATAGTAAACTTTCATTCACTGGTCATAGAACTGATGTACTAATATAAATGTGTTTCTTACATTTACAAAAATTGAGCCTAAATGACTCTCCAGACAAAGCTAAAAAATGGTAGTGCAGGAATCGGGTTTGGCTTAAGTGGTTCGCAGATAACACTAGAAATGCTGCATCTCAAGTTCGATTCCTACCATTGAACTATCAAAAACAAAGGTAGTGCATTGCGTGTCTCTGTCCATTCTTTTTGCGGTTGATTTCTCAGCATGAATAAATCCCTTCAAGTATGTTGTTGTTGTTGGTTTGATGGGGGA